GCCAACAAAATGTTAATATATTAATATTCATTAACATATAGCAACTATACATTATAAATTAATACTAATCAATATATTAATATCAATAATGATTATTGCCACTAATTTTTGGCTGTATCATTAATCAATCAATCAATAAGCATTTATTAGGTATCTAATATATGCCAGGCACTGTGCTAAGCACTGGAGATACAAAGAAAATAGAGGAGCAGTCCCTGCCCTAAGGGAGTTTACAGCTGCCATCAGGGGAAATAACACGTATACACAGAGGTAAGTACAAGACCTGTCCAAAACAGACATGAGATGGTTATCTCATGGGAAGAACATGCAGCAGAAATGGTTAAGAAAGGCCTCTTGCAGAAGGTAGTGCCCAAGCCTAAAGTCAAAGAGGGTTTCCAAGATCTGGAAGTCAGGAAGGAGAGTATTCGAGGCATGGTGGGCACCCAATGCAAAGGCACTGAGACCAGGAGATGGAGACTTGCATGTGAATAACATGAAGGAGGCCAAACAATGTGGCAACACCTTAGAGTACATGGGGAGAATAATATGTAAAAAGACTAGAGAGGAATGAAGAGGTTGGGGAGAGCTTTAAATGCCCCAAAGAGGATTTGTATTTGATCATAGAGGGAACAGGAAGCCATTTGAGTTATTGGGTATATCACTTTGGCAGCTGTCTGTTGGATGGACTGGATTTTGACTCCTGGGAAATTTTAAAACATAGTATCAAAGACATGGTTACTGAACAGGTATCTGGAAAAGGAAAGAACTAGCATGATTTAATCAAGAACAGGTCCTGCCAATTTTCTTTATCAAAAGAAAAACCTTAATTTTCTTCATCAAAAAGGTCCAATAAACTAGTAGATCTGGGGAATGCTATAGAAAAAAGTTTATCTGGATCTTGGCAAAATATTTGATAAAATATGTCATGCTATTCACATGGAAAAGACGGAGAGATGAAGGCAGACAAAAATTTTTTTGAACATATGAAGGGCAGTATGGCCTCTGTTTAAGACATCTTAAATATTTCATTTAATGTTTATTTTAAATTAATATTTTATTTAAGAGATCCTACTCAACTGATTTGGAATTTATTGAATGATTAGACTAAAAGCATAGACATTAATTATTTGATGGCAAGTTAAAAGTCTCCAATGGAGTGCCCCAGGGATCTGTTCTTGGCCCCATGCCATTTTTACCAATAACTTGGATAATGACTTAGAACCCATGCTTATCAAATTTATTGATGATTAAGTCTGGGAGAAATAGCTAAAACACTGGAAGGTACCTAAAAGATCTTGATAGGCTAGTACACTGAGCTGAATGGAAGACGAAATCTAGTAGAGATAAATAGTCAAGTCTTAGCCATAGGTACAAAAAAAAATCAACTTCATAAGGACAAAATAGGGGAAAATTGGGGAAGGGAAAAGAGAAAAGAATAAGCATTTATATAGCACCTACCTATGTGTCAGGTATTGTGCTAAGCACTTTATAAATATTATCTCATTTGATCAATAGTCAATATGAGTCAGCAGTACAACATATCAGGGAAAAAAACTATTCTGATTTTCAGCTATATTAATAGGGCACAGGTTTCAGAAATACGAAGTGATCATCCCAGTATATTCTGCCTTAACCAGATCTCATCTGGAGCATTGCGATCGACTCTGGACATCATCATCATCATTATAGCTGAGTCTTGTATAGTGCCTATATAGTATGTAGTGCCAGGTGCTGTGCCTAGCATTTTATAATTATTATCTCATTTGATATAACAGCCCTGGTAGGTAGGTGCTATTATTATCCCTACTTTACAGATGAGGAGACCGAGGCAGAGGTTAAATGACTTGATTACACAGCTAGTGTCAGAGGGCCCATTTGAACTCAGGTCTTCCTGACTCCAGACCCCATCCTCTATCCAGTGCTCCACCTTGCTTCAATAAAGGAGACTAATAAACTGTTCAGAGGAAGGCAACCAATAGGGTGAAGGGCCTTGAGTACCACTTGAGGATGAGTGAAGGACATAGGATGTTCTAATAAGCTTGGAGGAGAGAAGGCTTAAGAATGTCTCCAAGCATTTGAAAAGGCAATCGTGTTATTGATTAGACTTATTCTCTTTGGTACCAAATGGCAGAACTGGAAGCAATTGGTAGAAGGGACTTGGTATCAGGAAAAACATACAGCTTTCTAAGATCTAAATAACCTACATTAGTAATGGGTGGTGTTGGTGGCACAATGAATAGAGTATTGGGCCTGAAGTCAAGTAGACCCGCGTCCAAATCCAGCCTCAGACATTTACTAGTTGTGTGACCCAGGGCAAATCATGTAACCTCTGTCTGTGTATTCCCTTCCCTAACACCTTCCACTCCCTAGTCCCAGGGGGTTTATCTCACTGGAGTTTTTCAAGCAAAGACTGGATAACCACTTATTGACTCCACCATGGAGGATATTTCTTTTCAGGCAAGGGTTGGACTAGATACCACCTTTCTCCCAGACTTGTATCATTTGTAAATTTGATAAGCATGCCTTCTAAGTCTTTATCCAAGTTATAGGTAAAAATGGCATAGGTCCAAGAACAGATCCCTGGGGCACTCCATTGGAGACTTTTAACTTGACATCAAATCAATCATTAATGTCTATCTTCCAACTCTGAAATTTTGGGAAAGTTTTTAGAATAACCTAGAGTTGAGGAGATGTTTGGCCAGGCATCCTTCACTACAGCACAATGGGAGATCTTGTGGTCCAATAGGCAGTTGCTGTTCCCTCTAGCCAAGTACAATGAGGGAGCCACCTGGTACATTCCTCCTGTTGCTGCATTTCTCCCAGGGAAACCAACACAAAAGTGTCCTTATGAGACTAGGCAGTAGTGGAAAAGGGAGGGAATGACTCATGGCTGTGTTTCCCAGGTCATCAAAAGTCAACTACAAACTTAAAATCTGAGCAGGCTATAGGTAACCTACATTGTAAGCGATATTATATCTGGGGTGCTGCAAGCCAGCGCAACAGACAGTAGATGGAAGGTTAGAGCTGGTGAGAAAGGACAGTGATAAAGATAGCTATTTGAAAGCCAATAGATTGAAAATGATTATTGAAACAGAACGGATGAATTTACCAAAACAGCTCCTCTTTAGCAAAAAAATTCATACCCCATTCAAAAGTTTTTTTTTCTTCCCCAAGCTGTCCTGATCAGATTATTATTATCATTATTATGTCAGATACTGCTTCTTGAAAAAGCAGCTATCTTCTGGGGAAAACTATTTGGATAATTACTACCTCTAAATTATTTTTTAAAATAATTTCAGTATTATCTCAAATTTGGGAAAGGAAGTGAATAAACCCAGTATGGGGAAACTGAGTAAACAGTAATTTTTGGAAAATTTAAAAATAATTTTCAAGCTCCTCTCTTAATCAGGCTCATAGCACTTTATCATATATTGAATGAAATTCATTTTTATAGCAAGAAAAAGTTTTAGTGATAATAATTTTTTATGTGCTAGTCCTTTTTTTTTTTCCTTTTTAGGCAATTGGGGTTAAGTGACTTGCCCCAGGGTCACACAGCTAGTAAGTGTCAAGTGATTGGTTTGAGGCCACATTTGAACTCAGGTCCTCCTGACTTCAGGGCCAATGCTCTATCCACTGCACCACCTAGCTGCCCCTGTGTTAGACCTTTGAACTGATGTTAAGTTTGCATGGAAATAGAAAATCATTTCATTGTTTTCTGAGATAGTTTGTTCAGAAATGTGCAATATATGCCCATTTAAAGTTTGATTTCATCTATGCTTAGAAATCCTTGACCAATATTCTACTCAGAGCCCTTCCTTTGTTGTGGAGTAAAATCCTAGGTTCTTAGAGGTTAAGCCAACAAACTACAAACTTGTACAGGTCTGAGCACTGGCTTAGCTCCAGAATCTGCTTGTTGTTGAGGTGATGAATCATTCCAGCCATGGCAAATAGCCAAGATCAATCTCCAAGTAACTGACTGGTTACAAAACTTACAAACCACATTGAGGAAATCATAGAAATACTCAAGTACGCTCGGAAGGAAAAAGAACAAGAAATGTATCCTAGGATTGATTAATCAACTATTTTCCACTTGGGATTTATGGTTAAAAAATCAGCCATTTGTTATTTCATGAAAAAGAAAGTATGCTTATTCTTAATGATTATTTTTATTAGTGTTTATGAAATAAAAACATCTTAAAATATTTTTTCAAGAAATAGTAACAATCTTTGCAAAATACATATGCCAAAAATAGCCTTACAACATACAATCCTTTGCATATTTTAAACATTATAAGTCCTTTAAAAAAATCACATTGCTATAAAGTAAGTTCTTCAGAGTTCCAAGGTTGGAGGACTGAAGCAAAATTCTGGAGAGGCAGTAACCTTTCATCATGGTCTCCTAGTGATTAAATTACACTGATAAAATCAACCTGTGTAAAGTCACATGTGCAAATTCAAAGTGACTTAACTTTCAGGATCCTAGGGGATGCTGCATAGGATAAGATGTTTACCAGTGTGTTCCCTATGAGGCTTAATTCACCTTTGGGTAGAGTATAGAGTAGTTTACTTACCTTGCTTCATCATGCTACTGGAAGAGGTAAATATAATAGGTAAAAAGACCTAGGGGGCAAGTCAAGTCCTTTCTCTGGATATGTGAAGGGATGGGGAATAAGGGTTAGAAGTAGAATGGTACGTCAGTGGGTTCTCAAACTTTTGAGTCTCAGGACTCTTTCAGACTCTTAAAAATTACTGAGGACCCCCAAGGAACTTTTATGAGAGTTCTATCTATTGACATTTATCATATCATAAATTAAAACATCTTAGTATTTCGATGAAATTAGTTTTGACCTATAGACCCCCTGAAAGGGTCTCAGGATGCCCAGGGGGTCCCCAGATCATACTCTGAGAATTCCTAGATTTGATAATTTCTGAAATCCCAGTTCTAACATGACTTCAGAGACAGTTAGGAACTTATGTTTTTGCAAACGTTTCAATTAACATACCACGTATGGGCCAAGTTAGTTATACAGGCAAAAATTAATCTCTGTTTAATCTTCATGTGCAATTCTTCAGTCAGGAAGGACTGAGAGAAAAAAAAATGCATTCTCATGATTATTTCCAGAAAGGAAAATACAATCTCATAAAGGCATGGGACCTCAAATCCCTGCACCTTCAGAATAAATGACCAGAAAATGGAAAAGAAGTTGCATTGTTCCAACTCAGAGGCTCAAGGGTTACGCCAACAGGAAAGTCAGCTTGGGCTAGTGAGGGAGTTAAATGTCATCATATACTCATTAGAGAGGTGCTTAGGACCAACACAGAGGTCACACTACTTTTGTAAGATTTAGAGCCAGAATTTCTACATGGGAGGAAACGGAAAGCCCAGTGGTAAGTGACCTAGCCAGGGCTCAAAAATTATGAGCAGCAAAAGCCAGAATTGAAAACCAGATCTTTCAAATCCAATCATCTCACACTAAGTTACTTAACAAGTAAACTACCAAATGGTCTTCTGGATATTACAGTTTCTTCCACTTGAAGGCATGGTAAATTCTGGCTTGACAGAATGCTACATATGAAATGTTTTATTAAAAACGCCATTGCCATTTAATGTAAATGGACTTAATACACATACAACATACAGTAATATACCAGCAATTATTTTATCCATCATTTTTATGTGCAGTGAAATATTTTTTCCATTCAAGCTGTCATGAAGATAATGACAAGTTTTGACATTAAAAAAATAAGGAACCACATTCCAATTCCATTGGAAAAAAAGTCTACTCTCACAAATTAAGATGACTAATGTTGCTTAGAAAAGTTGGCTTTAAAAGTACACCAAAGTTCTTTAAGCCATGTTTTTGGTTTAGAGATTATTATAAAAAATGATTTTAAAAAGTTACCTAGAATCCTGAGAGATTTCCACTTGGTATTGCTTTAAATATCTAGAACAGATTTATAGAAAACTACCTTTTCTTGGGAGGAAGCCAAGTAAATGTAGCTAAAATATTCCACATTTTGCCCCTTTATGATTTGAAAAACTGAGAGACCATAAACATCAAAATTTGAATGCAGTTATACATAATGACATAGAAAAATTAAAATTGTAGGCTGTAGGTGTAATTAATGTGGCTACTTAAACATTTGGCCAAATTTGACTGAAGGATTTTTTGCCTTTTAAAAAAATGTGAAGCTTTTGCCTGTCAAATTCTAGTATTAGCATGGAAAGGCACTTTATAGATCTAGGCTTTGGTCTAAAAAAAATGGATTTGCACTATTTAAAAAAATTGAGACTTCTATTTAAAGTTTCTGTTTGCTATGCTAAAATTTATAAATGCAAATATTTATTCACTTAATTAATATAATGCTAATTTGGCCCTCATGTTGCTCAAAATATCCTTAATTACCTCTCCTACTCAGGTGCTCACAATAAAGACAATACATTTCTTTTTTTTTAAAAGCATTATACATGTACTTTTTTTGTTCCAGTCATGCAAAAAAAAACTTGAATCAAATTTTTTTCTTTTGATAAAATTCATAATATCAGGGAGAGCAAACTAGCCAAGTTATTTAAAACTACTAAAAGCACATATGCTGTTTTCAAAAATTATACTTCTGTTATTAAACTCAAAAACTATATGACCAGTTAATAAAAATACACTTAAAATTTTCTGTGTTATTGGGATGAAGTTCTACCTGACAAGTTTATCTTAGCACTGATGTCTTACTTGAGAATTCTGGTACCATTTGTGAATGGCAGCTCCAGAGCTGCTAGCTACCACACAAAGGGCACCACTCACTGTCCACCAAGTTGGTATTTTATTAAGGAAAATAATCTGAAGTAGGAAAGCAAAGACTATATCCATCGTTCTCATTATGGCCACAGGCCCTGCTTTTTCTACCTGAAGTGCTTTAGTGAGAAATATCTGCCCCCCCAATCCAAAAAGTCCTATTAGTAGCAAAAACAGCCTATCTATACCACAATGAGGTAGACGCCAGTCGCCCACTACAATGAGTACAATGATAGATTCTAATAGTCCAATCACTACATAATACCAAATACTCAGCAGATGGTGCACAGATTTTCCCACCTTTCTTAGTATAACAAGAGTCAGAGCAGCAAACATTGCACCACATATAGCTGCTAATGCTCCTCTGAGGTGATAGGAATGATTTTCTTCCAGCCCTGCTGTGCTGTAGCCAAACAAAAAAGGAGGTCTTGCAATAAGTATCACACCAGCAATTGCAAAGATAGTGAAGAAAAGATCCCAAACACTGTATTTTTCCTTGAGATATATCCAAGCAAATAGTGAAGTGAAAACTGGAGTAGTAAATGTGATAACAGTGGCATCAGCGATGGGCATTAACTGGAAAGCATAGTAGAGAAGGATCATTGCTGTGGAACCAAAGATTCCCCTGAGGACAAGGAAAATTCGTTTGCCTTTTGGTCCCAAAAACCCCGTTCTGCAAATTAAAATAAAGAAAAGCATGTTACATTAACTTAGTATTGACTTGTAAATTTCAGCTACTCTGTAAAGGAAACTCACTAATGAGTAACGTGTACTGTTAGCTGGTGTGTGTCTAGGGAGGATATGCTCTACAAGAGAGGCTAATACTACAGAAAATATGAGATATAAAGTGGAAAAGAAGAATTAAAATGTTTTGGCCAGAATCACCTGACCTGCTGTTGACTTTAAGTCCAACTACATTGTTTGGAAAACTTTATACAATATAAAAGAGTTAAAGATTGACTACAATCATCACAATCAACAAAGATGCTGATATATCAAACAAGCAAGCATTTATTACATGCCTACTGTGTACCCCGAGGACACAAATACAAAAGATAATCACTGCCTTCAAAGAGCTGATGTTAGATTGTAAAATCCTTAAGGGTAGGGGTTGCCTTTTGCCTCTTTTGGTATCCAGAGTACACTTAATAAATATTTATTGACTGACTGATGTTATTGAGATTAACAGATTAAACAGATGAACATATGAACAGACAAGTAATTATAGGATAAAGTGCTGATGATTGGTGTTAGAGCTAGATACCCTTCTAAAAGTCTAGATTTGAGAGTGCATTATCTATGAATATCTGGAGTTAGCACGGGGAGAAGTGCACATCATAAGAGGCATTCTTAGCAAAATCTTAATGACATACATGACCAGTTAAAAGGATTAGATTGTGCCTTTAAAGAAACTGAAAAGAAAGCCTAATATAATATTGACATAATAAATATAGTTGCACAGACCCTACCTTCACTAACACCCAATGCTTATCACATTCTTAGTTGGCTATCATCTCTAAAATACAAAGTGTCCCAAAAGTCTTAGTGCAGTTTTAAGCTTTAGTAGCTTAGCTTAAAATTGCACTAAGACTTTTGGGAAACCCCTATTTTTTAGATTTTCATTCCTATTCACTAAAACATTGACCCACAATTTTTATATGCCACTGAGTGATGAAGTTAACTAGAATCTAGATCTACATATTTCTTTTACTAATTTCTTAATGTCTGGCATGAAAGACCATTTTAAGTGACTGTCCTAAACAATCTAAAAAATGGATGACTGTCTTGTGTAACAGTGAGGCTAGACAACCACTGGTCAGACAATAAAGTATTATACAGAAAATCACTTCATGGTGTAGGAAGATGACTGAATTGACTTCTCAGGTCCTGTATATAATGCAGGATTCTCTGAATGTGTGTTTGTGAGAGGGGAAGTATTTTTAAGCAATTGAAATATAATTGAAATTTTTAAGTAATTGAAAAAATATCAAGAAATTGAAAATTGAAATTACATTTGGGATTTTCTTTCTAGTTCCAATCTGAAAGTTAAACATCCTTGCTCCCAAAACAATCCAAAGAATTCCAGCTCATTGTTTGCCTTTCCCCTAATAGCACTCTGGTGCGATTTAGAGGCCTAGAGTCTAACATAGGGAAGGCAGAAGGAGAGAGTGGAGGAGAGGTGTAAGAGCAAATTGGTAGGGAAAGAGAAGTCAATACTGACTAGCTTCTCTCTTCCCCATGTAAGCATCACATGATCTGTTAATTTAATACTTTTGTATGTTCTACATGTAAAATATTGTTGTATCATACAGAATAATATCATTCTAGTATATATAATATTCCATAGTATACCATTATAATAGTCTATTCTACTAATATTACATTGTTATATTATTTAATAATTAGAATAATAAAATGAAACATCTGCTGCTTAGAAAAGCCTACTGGTGATAACAATATACCATATCAAAAAAAGAAAAATAATTGGTGGCAGTGCAGGTGTGTGTAAGAATGAATGAAGCCATAACTCAGGAACATATCATCATTTCAAAATGTTTGCAGGTATGTTTCTTATGAGGCAGCTAGGTGGTACAGTGGACAGAGTGCTAGGTCTGGGGTCAAGAAGACACGAGTTCAAATCCAGCCTCAGACATTTACTAATTATGGACAAGTTACTTAATTCTGTCTGCCTCAATTTCCTCAACTGTAAAATGAAGATAACGATCACACCTACCTTATAAGGTTATTGTGAAAATCAAATGAGATAATAATTGTAAAGTACTTAACACAGTGCCTGGCTCATAGTAGGCCCTTAAAATGTTTGTTCCCTTTTCCCATTCCTTTGTTTGTAACCCCTTTCCCTTTCCCCACTTTATGGGGGTAAGAAAATAAAAAGTTTGTACTACATTTCCTTTTACTTTATATGGAAATTGGGGTGGGAAACCTCCTACAGGCAGATATATTCTATTGGTATAAGACACAGTGAAAGTTGGTAATGAATAGGAACATTGACAAAAAGATTATTGATCAATGTTAATAGGGTCAATGAATATTCTATAGACAAAAAGACAAATTTTAGGTTTGACAATTATGAAAAATTATTAAGTCTCTCATTTTACAGTAAGAAGTAATACTTATAACCAGTGTCTCTGATAAGGGCCTGATTTCTAGAATATATAGAGAACTAAGTCAAATTTGTAAGAATACAAGTCATTCCCCAATTGATAAATGGTCAAAGGATATGAACAGGCAGTTTTCAGATAAAAAAATTTAAAGCTATTTATAATCATATGAAAAAATGCTCTAAATCACTATTGATTAAAGAAATGCAAATCAAAACAACCCTGAGGTTCCACATCATACCTATCAGGTTGGTCAACATGACAAAACAGGAAAAAGACAAATGTTGGAGAAGATGTGGGAAAATTGGAACACTAATGCATTGTTGGTGGAATTATGAACTGATGCAACCATTTTGGAGAGCAATTTGGAACTATGCCCAAAGGACTATAAAATTGTGCATACCCAGCAATAGCACTTCTAGGGCTATATTCCAGAGAGATCATAAAAATGGGAAAAGGACCCACATGTACAAAAATATTTTTAGCAGCTCTTTCTGTGGTGGCAAAGAATTGGAAATTGAGGGGATGACTATCAATTGGGGAATGGCTGTGGAATACTATTGTGCTATAAGAAATGATGAGCAGGCAGACTTCAGAAAAACCTGGAAAGACTTGTATGGACTGATGCTGAGTGAAGTGAGCAGAACCAGGAAAACATTGTACACAGTAACAGACATATTGTGTGATGATTAACTTTGATAGACTTAGCTCTTCTCAGCAATGCAAGGATCTAAGACACATCCAGAGAAAGGATGTTTGAATGCAGACTGAAGCATACTATTTGCTCTTTTGGGCTTTTGTTTTGTTTTATTTCCTCTTTCTGGTGGTTCTTCCTACTGGTTCTAATTCTTCTTTACAACATGACTAATGTGAAAATATGTTTAATAGGAATGTATATGTAGAGCCTATATCAGATTGCATGCCATCTTGGGGAGGATGGGGGGAAGACAGGGGGAGAAAATTTAAAACTCAAAAGCTTATGGAAGTGAATGTTGAAAACTAAAAATAAATTATAAATTTAAAAAAAATCACAAAATAAATAGATGATTGTTAAAAAAAAAAGAGTCATACTTACTTTTCATATATTAAGGAAGGAAGAACAAATAACATTTGGAACACACATCGAAATGCACTAATTTCTGCAGAATGGATATCTTGTATTTTTTTTACTAACAAAGAGGCCACTGAGAAAAAGAAGGCAGACAATAATGTATAAAACAAGCCAAGTCCAGGGCAGGTAACTTTCTTCTTAGCTTCTGAAAAAAGATTAAATTCCAATTAGTTTTTGTTTTCATAAATACTTCTATTAAAAATGGTTATTTCAGTTAGAAATTTGGAGGAAATGTCATAGTATTCCAAAGGTGAATGAGTTCACAAACTTTACCTGTTAAGCCATTCACTCACTATCCCAAGCATCAATTTTTTCCCTATGTCTGATATTTGTACACAGCCATTTAAAAAAAAATACAGAAATTCCATTCACTCCTCACATTGTCTATGTCATAAAACCAGGACACTCCTTGCCAAGATGACAGGAAAACCCCTGAAAAATATTTTGGCAACAAGGTAGGGGAAAATTTCATTGGCCCCTCTAAAAACATGTATTTACAGCCTCTCAAATGCAAGAAGTATTCTCTAACTACTATGGGTTAAAACGAAAATGTATGTCATAAAAGCACTCCATGCAAGGCAGGGAATCACTTTAGCAACACTAGGAGGCAGCATTAGCTAATAAATGGACATCCTTTCTACAATTATCTTGAAATGTTAAATTTAGCTTTTCATGTGTCCAGGTCTTATCCCCCCAGTAGACAGTAAACACCTAGAGAACAGAAGGATAATTCTATACTTCTTTGTAATTTCCAGAGAGCCAATTATAATGCCTTTCACAAAAGTACATAACTATTTCATTTTTATTTAAATGAGATTTGCCTTTTATTATCTGAAATTTATATGAGGCACACTGGATTTGAAGTCAGAAAACCTGGGTTCAAATCCTTTCTCTGCTACTTTCTACCTGCGGTATGTGTCTTGGTTTCCTCATCTATAAAATGATGACGTTGGACCAGACTCAGATTCCTGACTAAATCTATTCTAAATCTATGACTTCAGGATTTTTGGCTTCCTTGCTGATCATACGAGCTTTAAACTAAACCATAAATGTCTATATCTCTTTATATTCCTATAAAAGGGGTGGGGGATACTAGCAATAGGCAAGTGTCTTCTGCCTGGTGGTAGTATAATTTGTAGCACAAGTAAATTCAGCCTGGGATAAGACAGAACATAAAGTACCACAAACTTTTAAGACTTTTTAAACAACTAACAATAAAACCATTTAGATTTTCAAGTGCAGCTGCCTTGATGAACTTCATAGTTATGTAAGAAACAACAATTTCATACAATCCTCAGATCCCTAAGTAAGGTGGAAAGCCAACCACATGGTAAACTTTGCAAACTAGAATTATAATTTTCAAAACATGAATGTACAGAGTTAGCCACTAAACACTACTGCTTAAGGATGTTGCTAGTACCCTGTTAAAAACAACAAACAGCTGCCCTATTTCTATAAATGTGTAAGTCACTTTACAACTCTAAATACCAAAGAGCTTTCATGTACATTTCAACTTTTGAGGACCATTTCTTTCTTTCTTTTTTTTATGAGTGAGGTAATTCACAGCCTGGAACGTAAGTATAATTATGGAAGCAGATTTTCCAAGGACATTTCTAAAAATTTATCATTTGTATTTAAGAATGGGTTTCCTCACTATATAAACACCTGTGTGCATAAATTTGGCTGCAAAGTAATTTGTAGGTAGCAGTCATTAACGTATGCCCAAGCCCCCTAGTTTATATTCTGTATGAAAACAAAAACTAGACATATTTCATCTCAGAAGAATGAAACTTAAAGACTGTTGCAAATTAACTGGTGTGAAATACATACCTCAGTTGTGGTTGGGACTTAGAAATTACATTTTTGAAATTTCATACTTCAAGTCCAAAAAAAATAGATTCTTTTTTAAAGAAAAACATTCATGGAGCCTGAACTCCTGGATTAGAACAGGGAAAAGAAAAAGAAAAAACCCCCCAAAAACCCTAAGATAGAAATACTTCCCTTTTTCTGTAATTCCATGGTTACAGTCACTAATGCCTAGTTTTATTACATTTTCTTCAAGAAATAGTTTAATTGCATAAGAAGTTCTTTTAATTTAAATTGTATATTTTGGCTCTAATCACACACACAAATATAATACACATACAAATAATATAATACAATTCATAATTAGGACAAGTGGAACAAGGCCATGAGAAGTCAAGTGGGGAGTGGGTGGGTGGGATTGGTTATATAGAGGTAGTGGATGGGGTTCAATCATATTTAAACTGATAGACACTAATAAGCCCGTTACGAAATTATCACTGCCCTCTGAAACTGCTCAAATCTGGCTGGGAAGATAAGATATAGGCACATTAAACAACTAGAGAACATTTGGAATCAAGTAACATGGAAGGCAATACAAGAGATGTCACAAGGCATCCAAGTTCCAAACAAGTGATACACAGTTCAATGGGGAGAGACTTCTGGAAACTAGAATGATCAGAGAAAACTTCATGGAAGTGGAAGTACCTGAACTGGGCCTTTGAAGAGTGCTAGGTTTTGGAAAAGCTGAATGAGACAAAGACTGATGGAGTGGCTCATCTTCTTCCCTATTAGATTGTAAACTCAAAGACTGGAACCCCAAGTACTTCTATATCTCCTTTAGCACTGAATAGAGTATTTTCCATATGGTAGGCATTTGATTAATAACAATAATAAACTGAATTTGCAAAATGTCTATAAAGATGGTCTAGAAAAAGTTCTGGAAGGCCCTGAGCATATCAAGTAGAATGGGAATGAACAACCTGGACTGATTAGACCTTGCCAAACTACATTCACATTTCAATTACTGGCAATAACAGAGGGAAGCAGTGATGGAGATCACCTAAAGTAGTATTTGGCCTTGTAAAGTATTTCTGTGTTTTTCTTGAATAGGAGAGAACATTCCTCTAGAACAATGCTTGAAGCCAAATAATAAAAGCCATGTAGTGAAGTTAAGCCAAAGCACTCTATTATAAATTTCAGCTATTATTATAATGCTCAAGTTTACAAAGAACTTAAAGAACATTAGGTTATCCATTTTTTAAGATAAAACTTTTTAAAAAAGATTTGGGGAGATAACAGAAGTTGGCCATATGTGAGAAAGAAATGGAGAGAAGAAACAACCTGTAATGGCATTTAATCTTACTTTTTAAGGTTTATTTTCCAAAATGACTTTGTTTCAACCAAAAAGCCTCAATTGCTTCAACCTGACTAGTTGCAATAAACCTACTAAATGTTGTTTATTAAAAATGGCTACTGAAACCCTAAGCAAAGGGTGTCCCAAAAGTTTTGGTGAAGTTTTAAGCTATTAATGCTTAAAAACTACACTAAGGCTTTCTGGGACACCCTCTATTTTTAAAGTTTTCATCCTGTCTTCTGTTTTTTACATCATCATAGTTATCCCCACCTTCCTTCCCTACCTCCTCTCAGAAAGCAATCACATATCACAAACTGCATTTTTTTTTAAGGAGGAAAAAAAAATCAGTACACTTGATGGATAGATACATTGAAAAAGTTCAAAAACCCGTGCAATGTTTTGTAATGCCTGTGGACCTTGAACCTCCACCAAAGGGAAGGGAAGAAAGGTGGAGGTGCACCTTGTATTTTAACATGATTATTTAGCTTCAGTCATTTGGCAATATAGTAATCCTTTCTGAAATGAAGAACGATCATTATTATCTTCCAAAAAGATAAATCTTACCACATTATTTCACAGAATAAGCAATTATGTGCTTTATGCCACGGTAGAGAAAACGATGGAGTTATTAAGGAATTGCCAGCAATAAATATCATAAATAATTTTATGTGTGGAAAATAACCCACTCAGCATTATACTACAACAGTCAATTGTTAGGTAGATTAAGATGCTATAACTAGTCAGTTGCAAAGAGTTGAAGGAAGAGACACACCCTGAACCACACACCCCACCTTAAGTTAATGGAGTGACAGGATTATGGACCGTAACAGGAGCTGGGGGGCACTTACTGTACCAACCAGCAAGTATTTATTCTAACCTGCCCATTTTATAGATGAGAAAACCAACGCCTGAGCAGGGAAGTGAGTTGACTGAAGGTCACAAAATGAGTCGGTAGGACAAAAACTCGGATCTGCTCCCAGCACACGCGCCTTTCCACCGTGCATACTACATGTAAAGGGCTTTTCAATCTAATTCTGTACATTCTATAAAGAATTTGTTAACACTGTCTATACTTTTACCACTGCCCAATCCCATACATTCTATAGACTTTTTTCTACTTTGTATACTTCTAGCCTAATCTGCTATGCGGTGGGTGCTCCATCCATGCTGTTCAACTTAACTGAAACTAATTTTGGAGATGGGATGTTTTCTAAATATGGGGCAGGGGTCTGAGAAGCAAGCAACATTTTGGCGTTCACCTCGAACTAACAGAACTGCATTTTCCCCCCGCTCCATTTCTGCCGAGACCCACCGCTCCCCGGGGCCGGGGGCTCCCCGAGCCAGACGCGCAGGGGGAGAACGGGCTCTGCGACGCGCTGCCGCAACGCACTTGACCGCACTTGGTCAAGTTCAAGTTCAGGCGTGGGGCGCCCGCGCGCGCTCTCGCCAGGGCTATCTCCTGGCGACCGCCTGCCTAGACTACTGCTCCTCGGGGGGAGGGTCCCCAGAGGGGCACAGCCCTGCCAGGCTCCGCACCCTTCCTGCGGGGGTTAGAGATGCTCCGTCGGAGTCTCGCCGGCAGCCCCAGCCTCCCTCCGGGCCGCGGGCGTCGGCAGCGGGACCTCGGGGACAGCCTGCCGCACTCACCGGGGTTTTCGTTTGGGACCGCGAAAAGGCAGCAACCGCCAGCTGCGATCTGCGAAGCGGCCGGGTCCACTGCCGCCGCCGCTGCCGCCTCCTCCTCCGGGCGGCCGCTCAGCTGCAGGGACTCCTCCTCCGGAGCCTGTAGCGCCGGCTCCAAGAGCTCGGGCTCCTGCGGCTCGGCCGTCACAGCGCCCCCGCCGCCCATCCTGCTGCCCAGGCCGGCCGGCACTGGCGACCGCCCGCCCCGCAGCCCCGGCTCTTCCGGCAGCCTCCGGAGCGGCGCATGCGCGCGGCCACCCCTAGCACCCCTCTCTCCTCCCCGCCCCCCCGCCTGCGAGAGGCTTCCCCGGGCCTCCCGGGGAAGGGGCTTCCCCGCAAGGTCCTAGGCCACCGGGCTCCGTCGCCCTCGCGGTCTCCTGGGGCCCTGGGAACCGCCTGGTAGTTACAAACTAAGTCCAGAGCTCAAGCCTGTGAATTTATGCGACTCGTGCATGTGGTGTGTAGAGCACTCCTCAACTAGCAAGGGCTGGTGAATACCCCCATCCCATTACTGCAGATTGAAAGTACTCTGTGCATGAGCCTTCCTAAGCGCTATAGCGCAAGAGTCCGCACCTCTATGTTTACCATTGGAGAATCAGCCAGAGAACACCATGAGCTGATTTCAAAGATATTCACTGAAATGTCATAGTAGCAAACTCCCCCGCAAATACATGTCACACAAAACATTCCATTTCCAGACACGGCATTTTCATCAGACGTTCACCATGCCTGCAATACTTTCTCGCTCTCTTCATTCCTCTCTCCTGGCTTCCTTCAAGTCCTAGCTAAAAACCTGCCTTCAAACAGGGAGCCTTTCCAGGTCCCCATTAGTGCTAGTGCCTTTCCTCTACTGATAATCTCCAATTTACCCCGTGCATATTTTGTTTGTACATTACTACGCTGTCTTCCTCTCTCCTCCAGATTGTAAGTTCCTTGAGAGAAACTGTTTTTGTCTTTCTTTGTATCCCTCAGCAATTGGCCCAGTGCCTGGAAACATTGTTGTTCTTTAGTCGTTTTCAGACTGTCTGACTCTTCATGACCCTTTTTTGGGGTTTTCTTGGCAAAGATACTAGAGTGGTTTGCCATTTCCTTTTCCAGATGAGGAAACTGAGGCAAACAGGTTTAAGTGACATCCCCAAAGTCACACAGCTGGTAAGTGTCTGAGGCAGGATTTGAACTCATGAACACAAGTCTTCCTGATTCTAAGCCCAGTGCTCTATCCACTGTTCCACTTAGCTGTTCTCTCTATTGTGCCACCAGCTAAGCCTGAAACATAGTAAGTTCTTAATAAATGCTTATTGACTGGAAATATAGGAGACCCATAGGTTCACAAGTGAAACTGCATATACTTGGCCCTAATGTTTTCTCTGTCTTCTCCAAACTTTGTTGGAGATTGTCCAAATCTTGTTGCTTTTCCTGAAGTCAGCCATACCTCTGGGCTTGCTCCTGCACTGGGCTGTAGTTCTCCACTGCCTGGAGCTTTCAGGCTTAGCTGAAATCCTGGCTTTAGAGTACTGTTACTTGGGGAAGAACCAGGACCTATACTCTGGGACCAGGCCTCAGACTCATCATCTCCCAAGCATGACCCCCCCCCCAGCAGCTTCTCAACTCCTCTCATCAACTCCACTGGACTCAACTATGCCACTGGACCCTACTGCAGTGAATGTTATCATGTGCTTCTCTGTTGCAAGGCTCTGCTGCCTATGGAAGATGGTGGTGGGAAAGGGAAAGAAAATTCTTCTTCCCCTAGGTCTTGTACTCTCCAAGAGGTTCAAGGGAAAAGAAAGGTAAATATTTTTCCTAGAAACTGTCCAAGGTAAGCTCCCCGCCCCTGCTTGGTGAAACAACTCTCAGTCTCTCCCATTTACCCAGATCAGTGAGCAAAAGGAGAAACCACATGCCCAGGGGGCAAGTCTATTGTTTGGGTAAATCCACATTTTCAATTCTTGAATCTGACTTATGCAAATGTCCATTCAAAAGTCTCAAACCCTCCCCTTTCAGCAAGTGAATCAGGGAGACACTACTGATCAAGGGTCTCCAGATTGATCTACCCTATACTATTTATCTGTGTTTTCTTTGCATCTCCAAAATTTAGCAGTGCCTTGTGTATAATAGGCACATCACAAATATTTGTTGAATTGGGTTGAATTAAGTCCACACACTTTTAGATGTATTCAAATCTGGATTCATTATATCTAAAAGAGGGAAAGAGTCCAAAAAAATGGAAAATATCACAACTGATATCATTAAACATACCAAAAAAGGAAGAAATTAAAGATATAACATGTCTGCTTTCTCATATCTATAAGAAAATCCCTCCGGAGAACATCAAGACAATAATAATAGCATTTATATGCTCTAAGATCTGCGAGATGCTTTACAAACGTCTCATTTGATCCTCACAACAACCCTGAGAGGTAAATGCTATTATTATTCCCATTTCACAGAAGGGGAAACTGAGGCATATCGTAGTTAAATGACTTGCTCAGAGTCACAGAGCTAGTTAAGTGTCTGAAGAGTGCTGAGTCTGAGTCAGGAAAACCTGAGTTCAGATCTGGCTTCAGACACTTACTAGCTGTGTGACCATGGGCAAGTCACATAACCTTATCTGTGAAATGAGCTGGAGAAGGAAATGGAAAACCACTCCAATATCTTTGTCAAGAAAATCTCAAAAGGAATCATAAAGAGTTGGACACAATTGAAAAAGTGACAAATAAGACTTCCTGACTCCAGGTAATCAATCTGTCTGCTAGACCGCCTAATGTCAGAAGAATCAAGTTTTCTAAGTAATCCAGAGGGAAAGGTAAAAATCCAGCATGAATGTAAGTTGGTTGGAGACTATTACCAATAATGATCTATATAGGAAGCATGAAGATACAGTGGGAAAAGTGCTAGGTTCAGAGTCCAAAGACACTGGAATTACAGATCTAGTACTAATAGTTGTGTGACCTTTGACAGGTCACATTATCTCTGTTTCTCTCTCCTCATTCGGAAAATGAAGGGGTGGAAATTAAGATTACGACTACCCAGTTCTAAATCATTTACCCTATGATCTTTGGTGACTTAAAAGACAACATCAAAGACATGTGGAATAAGAAAAGGAGGTGATCCTTTCATGTAGGTAGAGTGAGAGATACAGATTCAGTGATATGACTGCAGTGGTGTCTGAGAAGTGATGAAAGGACCAGACAAAAGCCTCCAGCACGTTGGCTAGCTCCTTGATGGAAGGCTGTGAACAAGAACCACACAGTTTGGGAAGGTATCACTGTAATCTAAACCTAAAGAAGTGTTGTTGTTGTTGTTGAGTCATTCCGGTCATGTTCAACTCTTTGTGACCCCATTTGGGGTTTTCTTGGCAAAGATACTGGAGTGGTTGACCATGTCCTTCTCTAGCTCATTTTACAGCTGAGGAAACTGAGGCAAACAGGTTTAAGTGACTTACCCAGAGTCACGCAGCTAATAAGTGTCGAGGCCAAATTTGAAGTCAGGAAGATGGGTGTTGCTGACTCCAAGCCTGGAGTTCTATCCACTGTACCACCCACCTGCCCTGAAAAAGAAGTAACCACATCACCGAGAAAACAGATATAGCAAACTTTGAAGGTTATAAAATTTATTTGTTAAATGGGTTTCACACAACCCTGAACCCTATGAATATTCCAAGTTCAGTGTAAGATTATTTTGTTAGTCAATTGTGCTACTTATAACAAGAGCCCCCATTCAGTGCATTCTTTGCTGTTAGACCATACATATGACATATAAATTAAATAGCAAAATAATTAACATGTAAAATAAATGTTAATAACAAGAAAGGAATTAAGTAGCAGCATCAGTCTATGCCCCATACACAAATATATGTAATCTCCTACACTTTCCCAGAGGGGATTAGATTTAGATACCAGATAGAAATATGCTGGAGAAGGCTAATGAGGAGATAGGAAAACTGTCCCTCTACATGTGGATAAATGAGATAAGAGAACTGTGAATCAATCCCCAGTCTTCTCTCAGCATACTGGCAATATCAGTCATTGAGATCTGCTAACCTGGGGGCGGGGAAGGTAAGGGATGAAGAAATCTGCTGCTCAAGAGTCACCAGGTTTCTACCTCTGTCCCTGCTTGCTCCCACTGTTCTGTAAGTCTTGTTTTTCTTAATTCATTCCGCAGCCTCATGCTCACAGTTGTTCAGTCCAGTCACCTCTCTTCTCCCCTCTCCATGTGTCTTGACTTTTTTTCCTTTTCCTTTTCCAATTTTTCTTGCCTGATGCAATCCCCATATTCAAGTAAAATATTCCTGGGAGTCTCATGTCCTACAGGTCACTTCTCCAGTGAAGAGCAGCTCCTCTCTATCATAACTATGGGCAATTAAAACTTTCCTGGACAGCTTCCATTCAGGGTAGCCTGCCTACTCCATTTATATCTACGAACTATTTATTCTTTTCAAACCACATTCACTCTATACATAAATGACTCCCAGCTTGACAATCCAGCATTTGTGGGAACTTCTTCAACAGTACCATTTTGTTATCAACTGTCCTAGTAGAAAGTCTAGACATTGCTATGCCTACCATATACTTTCCTTTTAGTAATAAAATATTTCATCTGTTTTGCCTGAAGTAGTTTTACATATTGGCACTTGCCTAGGAAAAGAACAGACTTTTTATTGTTTCAGATAGGAAAAAAAAGAGTAGGATTATAAAAGCATTCAGGGACCTTAGTGATCATCTAGACCCTCCCCCTCTGTTGTGGTCTGGGAAAACCTCTAGTTCTTCTTGCCCAGATTTTTCTGTTTAATAGGCTGCCTATTTCTCAGACATGGCTCTTTCTCCTTACTGGTACCCCCTTCCCTTCTGACCGTTCCACCTACATCCCAATATGTAGAAATCTTCTGTACTTGAAACATTCTAGATTAGAAATGATCAGTTTCCTAACTGATTGTCAGTCTCTCTGCCTGTGACCTCAGGAATAAAAAACCAAACAAACAAAAAACCAAACTCTCCTGAGTGGTACTCCCCCTCCCTAGAAAAATGCCTGAGTGATTCTGATCTGGAATCAGTCTGGCTTAGTCAATCCAGGAGATGCGCTATCCCTAGAAATGTTTGAGTTATTCTAAAACATAGACCCAGGAAGTCTATAGATTGTTATGAACTCCCTCTTGCTATGGCCTAAAGTCTATGATTCTCAAGGCTTCCTGGTGGTAGCCTCTTATGGGATTAAT